TCCACCAATCAGAATATTTCGATATAAATAAATAATATCACAAAAATATTGAAGAAAATCCAAAATCAATTTGTAAAATCGAATTTGTGTGGAGAAAGAAGCTCGACATAGAGACTGAATTTTGTGGCTGCGTCTATCTCTGAAACACATTCTTCCACATCTCTTCTCTTTTCTCTCAAGACAAAAATGGTGGAAGATGAACAATGAAGAAGAATCATTGCTATTGTTCATTCATTAACCTTGTTGTTATGTTCCTCCATGGCCTGTTACATCGTTCCTTATTACCACAATCCTGTTTTGTCTCGTCCCACTAGAGAAATCATCAGTCACCGTCACCACCACCACCACCGTTTCTGCAACAAGCTCTTGAAGACGAGAATTAGAGTTCCTCGAAATTCCGCCATTAGTGACGGTGGTGTTTCCTACAATACTCTAGTCTCCGAGGTAAGCCATTTTTAGGGCAATTCTTTTAATCCTCCTTGAATTTTAGTAAAGGTTGTAGATTTGTGTAGTTTATGATCATAATCGAATTGGGTCGGTCTTTAATTTTGAATTTGAGCTCAATTGTACCAAAATCTCTGCGTTTGAGGTCTTGAAAATGTGAAAAGGATCAAACTTTGGGGATTTTTGAGCTCAATCTTACTCTCTCTCTATTACTACTTCATAAAAAATGAATCTTTACTTTGATTATGTAGTGGAGTTAGTTGATAATGTGAATGTTAATGGTGGTATTTAGGCGGTGAGGCTTTTGGTTCCACAAGCAAACTTTGATTCCTCGAAGCTTAAAGTTGAGTTTTTAGGGGAGTTATTGGAGAACAAGAGTAGCGGAGGGATTATTACGCCGCGGACTTATATTCTTTCGCATTGTGACTTCACTGCTAACTTAACCTTAACAATCTCCAACGTTATCAATCTGGATCAACTAGAAGGCTGGTACAAGAAAGATGATGTGGTTGCTGAGTGGAAGAAGGTGAATGACGAGTTGCGTTTACATATTCATTGTTGTGTGAGTGGTATGAGTTTATTGCAGGATGTTGCTGCAGAGCTTAGGTATCACATTTTCTCCAAGGAACTGCCTTTGGTTAGTTTTCTTCATCTCTCATCGATTGGTTCTTAATAAATGTGAAAATGACTATCTAACTCTTTGGTGTTGTGTTTGAGATAGGTACTTAAAGCTGTGGTCCATGGAGATTCAGTTATGTTTAGAGAGAACCCTGAGCTAATGGATGCTTATGTATGGGTTTATTTCCATTCAAGCACACCTAAATACAATCGGATCGAGTGTTGGGGACCTCTCAACGACGCTGCAAAGGTATGTTCTGATTCGCGTTGGCTCAACCTATGCTTTGTCCTTTCATACAAACGCCTGAAATGTGAAATCTGTGCGTGTTTTTGGTGGTGAAGGGAAAGCAGAAGGGCAATCATCAAGGCTTCTTGAGTTCAACGACTTCAAGGAAATTGATTCGACATAAGTCTATCTTCCATACCTTATTTACGTTTCTTCTGTGAGACAAAGTTGTAAATTCTCCTGTTTTTTTTGCAAATGATGTAGATTTCTTGATGAGCGACACAAGTGCAATTTGCCAACATTCAATTGTTCATACTTGGGAAATTTATGAGAGCCTAGTTTCTTAATGTTTCTTCAATATTAGTTGTCTAACACCTCATATTTGAATGAATTGATGAGGACATAAGACCATAAGTATCGCAGCAACACAAGTAGTGTTCTTAGGCATTAAAAATTTGAAAAAATTCAAACAGTAGAAGACGAACCTGAATTGCGATCTTCTGCAAGATCTGTTCTAATACAAGTTATGAGCCACGTGTCTGAAAAGTATTGGTTCCATAATTTCCTCTCTTCCTTCTTTTTTTTTTCTCTCTTCCTTCTTTTTTTTTTTCTTCTTTTTCTTCTCTCTCTTAATAAATTCATTCAGTTACTAAAGCAATATTTATTATTAAAATAATATTAACATCTGTATTGAGAGTTATGCCGATAAAGTGGGAGAGTCAAAGTTGTTGGAGTTCCTTGCCCTACCATCAGTTCAAGATTGTTAAAGTCAATCAAAGAAGACAGACAAATTTTATTATTTAATATTTAATTCAAAACAATTCAACCAATTCTTTTTTTTGTATATAGCAAAAGGTCATTTTCTTATTAAAACTAAAATTGGTTGAATACAAAGGTTCTAAAAGTGATTTTCGCAATAGCATCAGCCATGTGATTAGCGTCTCTAGGAACAGACTTGTAGCTAATATTTTGAAGAATCTCATAAAGCTCTGTCAAAAGAGTTTTCAAAATGATGGCTTCGATCACCTATTTGGAGTCTCAAGCGATAGTTAGGGTTTTCATGCCAAGATCTGAGGCATGTTGAAGGGCTACGCGAATCGCGCAATTGCTTATGCCCTTAGAGGCGATCTAACATGGGCTAAAACATGCGATTATTCTCTCTTTCATCCTGATCTCAGAGATGTAAAGACACGCGATTAGTTTTTTACAATCCAACCAATTCTTAAAAAAAATTATAAATAATCACAAAATATTAAATGCTTTTAATTTTGCAACCGAATTTGATCTAACATCTAATAAAATGAAACAAAAAAATCTTATATTTGAAACTTAAACCGTAAATTATCAAAATGAAATTGCATTTTTTTTTGAGAAATTATGAATCAATAAAAAACAAGTTCAATTATTTACCTAAAGCTTATAATTCTAAATTCAATTAGCTAATCCAAGTTAGTGGGTTATCATGTCGTGTGGTCCCATGTATTATTCTTGTTAGTTAAGGTGAGTAGAAATATCGTAGCTAAGTTTTATAGTTGATTCCAAATATTGATTGCTAAGCGGATTTGTAGTGTCATGGATATGGCCAGTCTTGAAATTTAGGGGGCCTAAGTTAAAATTTTTTTTTTTTTGATAAGGTTTAGAAAATTGGAAAGCATGTCATTGAAAAAATAAATAAATTATTTTATTGATAATTGTTTAGAAAAAATATTTATCGAGAGAGTTCAATAACATGGAATTCCGGAGCCCATGACCATAATCATAGACACAAGTAATTATAACTCAAGCATCATTCACTCGCGTCCTATTTGATGAAAAGAAAACCCAAATAAATCGTAATTAAATAAAATTTTCTATTTGTCCCTCAACTTGAAGTAGTTAAGTTGAATAAGCTGTTGAAAAACTGAAATCTTCGGCTCCATGTGAACTGTAACTGTTAGTTGAATCCTAAAACTATAACATATATTATGATTTTAAAGCATTTTCATAGAGGATCCAACAAATACAAATACTTATTTTTTGTACTGATTTTGAAGTCTCTTCAATTTTGCCATTAAATCTCTAACTGATTATAGTCGATTGTGAGTTTATCCCTACAATAAGGAATTTTTGAATGTCTATTAAAAATATCTAACAACATAGAAAGTTTGACATATTCTTTTATTACCAGAGTTTGAAGATGAGTAAGATTTGGTAGTGATGGCCACCAAAGGATCCATGTTAGTTTGTAAAAAATGGTTTAGTGTCAAAAGATAAAACAGAAATATTTGAAAATTTCAAAGAGTTAACTTCTAAAACATAAAAATAAAATTTATGGCTAAAATGATTACAAGATGATATCTACATGTAAATCAGTTGATAAATACATGACTTATCAACACCTAATATGGCTAGTTTGCCCAAAAAAAAAGAACACCTAATAAGTTGTATGTTAATAACAATCTAGAAATGGGCTCATTTTACTAATTCAGACGAGATGAACCAAAATCTAACTAAATAACCTAGAGATGCACCAATAAAAATCTGAATAACCATCGCATATAAACTAGATTAGGAAATGCTAAATACTTAAACCATATTATATTCAATTCTTTATTACTAAAACCACATTACATTTCATAACAAGTCGACATTCCATTATAGTATATTAAATCATCCATTACAATATTTGAGTAGTATTTAAAGAATGTGGATCAATCCATTTACACTACATTATATTACATAGATTAAATTATTAATAACATTATACTATAATATTTTATTAATAAATTAGAAACGTGGGTCAATCCACTCATCGGTTATGAGTTGGAATCTCATGAAACTTAACATGATATCAGAGTCTGATTCATAGGTACCCTATCTAATAGCTGGTCCGTCGATATATGCCCGAACATATCAAGACCAATGGCTAGAAAAATCATCATCTCGAGGGGACATATTGGGAATAATATCTCACATCGGAAATTGGACAAAGATCTTGACTAGTGTATAAGAGATACAAGACCATCCACTCATATCCAATTGGTTTTGAGTTGAAACCCAAAATATTTTAAAATAATATCATTCATCATGCCACTCTAAGTAACGTTCATGTGTTTCTACCTGAGTATCTCCGACTTGGTTAAGGGTGGTATGCACGTTAAGAGATATGGTTGTTACGGTGAATTCTTCGTCGCGAGAGATTCAATTTGATATATTATTTATAAATAGTTTTATACATTTGAGAGTAATTAGCAAGGTTATATTGCATATTATTTTTGATTTCATATGATTGATCTCTATTTTTTAGAGATGAAGAATAAAGTGCAAAATTGATAATTTAAAAAGTTTTCATTCAAAAAATCTATTAATTTATTATATTAATAAGATCACATATTTACATTAAAGTAAAAAAAAACATATATACACTAGATAAGGCCCGCCTATATAGGCGGGTGTAAGAAATAAACATAAACTTTTATCGATGATATTTAAATTCTAAATAGTAATTGTCACGATCATGCGAGTTAATAACTTTTAAAACCAAGCTTTATAATAATAAGATGGGAATTTTTTTAAAAAATTATCTTATTAACTTATCAAAATTTAGTAAATTTTACTTTGGTTCGACTTAAAAATTTATAATTATATAATTTTATAATATTATTAATTTATAGTAAAACTTTTTAGAGAAATTAGGTTGTATGAGGCAAGCAATTTCAAACTATTTTGCCCCATACATTTATTGGCTCATACTTACAATTATGTTTCGCTTTGTGCAGTTGAGGGAGGATGATGCTGATCAACTGCGGAAAGCAGAGGTATGCCAATAAGTGATTAAACAACTACTCCATAGAGATATGCCAGTGGTCATATATTCTTTCTAATTGACTAAACAAGTATTGTGCAGGGAGAACTAGAGAAGCTGAAAGCCGAGAACACTTTGCAACACAAAGAATATAGCATCTGCAAGAATGCAATGAAGGCCGAAGTAGAGAAACTCAGAGAAAGAGAAGGTATCACGCATCATCAGGCAGAAAATGCGTTTTCAGAGATAGAAATGGAAATATTCGCAATATTCACAATATAATCGACATCACCGTAACCACCATCTACACTAACACACATTCACCAACATCATATTACCACCAGATAGTCACTACTGGTTGCAACGGCCACGGTGCCACCACCACCATCACAACGTTATTAAAGCCACCGTCGTAATTATTACTATCACTGCTTCGTTACCACTAAAACCACCACACTGTTACTACTATATTGCCGATATCATCGCGCCATCACGTTCTAAACTATCTAAGTTTGTTCTACTATATTTCATATATGTTTTCTGTAAAATTTTTTTTATTTATCATAATTTTTTTTAATTTTCATAAGTTTATGTCTGTTTTTTTTTTTATAATTAAAATCATGATACATACAAAAAACTATATTTAGTTTAAAAGAATTATAAATATGAATTAAATTTTTAGAACTTAAAATATAAAAGATTAAAGGAGTAAAATACAATATAAAAAAAATTTAAAACAGAGAATTTCGCTCACATTTGCCATGTAACTCTTTTTTCTCTGTTTAACACACACAAACAAAGGCCAAAATAGATTTTTGACTTCTCCATTGTGTTACTTACTTTTTTTCTAACAATATAGGATATTCACCTAATTAACCCAATTTTTAAAGTAATTCAAACCAAAAAAGAAAACTTCGCACATGTATGTCCTCACTGCTCCGACGAGCTCATGGACTTTGCATGCCGTCATCTTTCTACTTCTCCCGTCTCGTAGACCGCTCTTTGCTCTCAAAGTGTCCAACTTTAGCCAGAATCGTCCATGCCCAGCTCCTCAAAGCTGGTTTCATACGCACTACTTATTGGGGAAATCGATGTCTTCAGCTCTACTTCAAATCCGGCGCCGTCATCGATGCTTTCCAATTGTTCGACGATATTCCTGATAAGAACACTATATCATGGAACGTTTGCTTGAAGGGTTTGTTAAAAAATGGCTATCTCAATTATGCACTTGACCTGTTCGATGAAATGCCTGAACGAGATGTTGTTAGCTGGAATACAATGATTTCAGGGTTTGTTTCTTGTGGGTTTCCTGAATATGCGATGAGGGTTTTCTTCGATATGCAGAGTTTGGTTATTCGACCAACGGAGTTTACGTTTTCGATTCTGGCTTCTCTTGTTTCTTGTGTTCGACATGGGGAACAGATTCATGGTAATGTTATTTGTAGTGGCGTGAGTAAGTCTAATTTGGTAGTGTGGAATTCTCTTATGGATATGTACAGAAGAATAGGATTTTTTGATTATGCTTTATCGGTGTTTTTAGCTATGGAGGATAGAGATGTTATCTCGTGGAACTGTTTGATTTTGTGTTGTTCTGATTCTGGTAACAAAGAAGTTGCTTTGGATCAGTTTTGTCTAATGAGGGATATGGAGAATCAACCTGATGAATATACAGTTTCGACGGTTGTGTCTATTTGCTCGGATTTACGAGATTTGTGTAAGGGTAAGCAGGCTATTGCTCTTTGCATCAAGATGGGGTTTTTATCTAACACCATTGTTTTAGGAGCTGGGATTGACATGTTTTCCAAATGCAATAGATTGGACGGTTCGGTTAAGCTTTTTAAACAGTTGGAGAAATGGGATTCGGTGTTGTGCAATTCCATGATCGGTAGCTATTCGTGGCATTTTTGTGGAGAAGATGCTCTCATGCTCTTTATTGTTGCCATGAGGCAGAGCATTAGGCCCGATAAGTTCACGTTTAGTAGCATTCTGAGCTCGATGAATGCCGTTATGCTAGATCATGGAGCACAAGTTCATGCTTTGGCTACTAAGTTTGGGTTTGATCAGGACACGGCAGTAGCCACCTCACTCATGGAGATGTACTTCAAAACCGGTTCAGTTGATTCAGCAATAGAAGTGTTTGTCACAACAGATGAAAAAGATTTGATATTTTGGAACACAGTGACAATGGGCTTGGCGAGAAACAGTAGAGCAGTTGAGTCCTTTGCTGTTTTCAATCAATTGCTGATGGATGACCTAGGTCTGAAACCAAATAGAGTGACTTTAATGGGTATCTTAGTAGCTTGTTGTTATGCCGGCTTTGTTAACGAAGGAATTCAGATATTCTCTTCAATGGAAAAGACTCATGGTGTTGATCCCGGGAACGAACATTACGCCTGTATAATCGAATTGCTTTGCAGAGCAGGTATGATCAATGAAGCAAAGGACATTGCCAACAAGATACCTTTTGAACCAAGCTCTCATATCTGGGAACCGATTCTCTGTGCATCTCTAGATGTTGGAGACACGAGACTCGCTGAAAGTGTAGCGAAAATAATGATAGAATTGGAACCAAAGTCATCGTTTCCTTACCTGGTTCTGATTAAGTTATACGAGATGACATGGCGCTGGGAAAATTCAGTGAAGTTAAGATACACCATGAATGAACATAAGTTGAAATTGACTCAAGGATCGAGCAAGATCGGTATAAAGAGCAGTGTGTACAGCTTCGAAGCTGACCAGTTGCAAATTCATGGAGGTCATGATACTTACGCAGTCTTGGACTTATTGTCTTGGGATTCTTTTGATCAGAAAATTCATTGGTCTGCATAACATTTTCACTAACAAGGTTCCAATAGTTAAGTGATTTTTTCATTTACTTTAACCTAAGGGCTCAGGTTGTATCCATTAATCCTGAAAAATTTCAGTATTTGATTCCACGAAAAGAATAAGTTAATAGTATTGCACAGTACATTGATGTATAGAGAAATCAATTTGATAATAAGAAAATGTGTTTGTTCAATTTAACATTAAAACCAAAAAAATGATTAGCAGTTTATAAATTTTGATTTTTGATTTTCCGTCTAGTTCTGAAATTTAGTTGATATTGATTGGATTCACAATCAATATCAACAAGTTTTTTTATCAATGGATAAATAATCTTCCTTGTGTAACTCCATAGTTTCATCCATATTCATATGTTATTCTTCTAAATGATTAGTTCTCACCAATATCACCTTGTGAACTTAAATTTAGCAATAAACGTAATAATGAATGTGAGTTTGAAGGAAATGAAATAGTACCCGAATCATAATCCTTCTCCTTGCAACCTAAGAAGGCTCATGATTTTTCCCTTCTTTATTTTTGTAATACTCATTTCATAATTGATAACTTCAGATTTTGTGATGAGATCGACTATGAAAAAGCTTCCACGCACTTAAAAACACTTTAAATCATGTTTTTTATATCAACATCAATCTACAAAGTCAGATACTTCAACGGATTGACAACGAAAGACGATACATATTCGATTGGGCTTGCTGTAAGAAGTCCACATCTGAAATTCTCTAGTCTTTGAATATGATCACTAACTTCAACGTTGTCACTTAAAGTCTCTAGCGCATCATCACTAGGCATTTAGATGAACTACTCAAACACCTTCTACGATGATTTCTCGGTGTTTTGAATCAATTTATTATACATGAAAATGACTATATAGTTTATAAGTTATTATAATAAATTGATCATGGTAAAAAAACCGTAAAAATTTAAAGAAACGCATACACAATTTATTACATATCTTATATATAATTACATTAAAAAATAAAATCTATGACCTCTTACTATGGTCCTTATGGTGTACAAGGTGGGTGACTCAAAGTGGAATGAGTTCAAAAGTTTTGTAGAAAGAATTGGAGACGAGAAAAGGACAACAGAGAGTCAATGTCTATAACAATGATGGAAACAAAGATGACTCTAAGGCCAAACAGACGAAGTCCAAGCTTAGCTGGGATCATTACTTTTATAATAAATCTTCGACATTCAAATTTAAAATATGTCTTGGATTGGTTACATAAAGTGTACACATTTTCAAAAGTCTCAGTTTTGGGTCAACAAAGTTTTACAAAACAAATATGTGTTTTTTTTTGTTTTTTCATTTTTTGTACAAAATAATTAATTAAATATGAACTAAATGACTTTCCATGTCATGCATGGTTAAATGAAATCATTATTCGTTTTGGAATTGATATTTTACTATGTACATATTTTCTAATAATGATGGAGTTTAAAAGTTTTATTCATAACGTCGCCATGTAATTTGAAATCTTATCATTCTTGTCATTTATAATCTATAAATTATGTTTACTGATTAATATTTCTGATATGTTTAAAAAAAATAAGTATTATCTACCGTATGTTATTGGTTTGATTTTTTGTTAATTATTATTTTACAGTCCAATAAGCAGCTTATTCTATATTATGGATGAAGTTGACAATGTGTAATACATATTGCAAAATTAACATGATGTTTCAAACATTCGAAAATTGTTTCTTCATTTAGTTCTTACAATACATTAACGACTGTATGTAGTTCATAATTCGCCATGTCTGGTACTTTGATTTCATTTCAGTAATCAATTAAACTATTATTTTTGAGAGAAAAAAAAATTCATATTTCAAACGCATTTGTTAGTTTATAATAGTTTTTACTGGATTATATTTTTTTGTTTTGAGTGTCGCAGTATTATAAACATAATATCTTATGATCCAAGTCATAATTAATGTGGTCCAACTGAATCGATATCTCATGAAAATGTACAATGTGAAAATTCTCCAATCCCTTTTTTCCTCCATAATCACTTCAGTCTTTTCTTTTACTTTTTCAATAGAAATTTGCGTTTATTTCATCATTTATTTTATTTATAAATAATAACTTCGGATTTATATTGAATAAATATAAATTGGATTTTGTTGTCGCAATATTAAATAATATAGAATATCATATGTTTTATTAGATATATACGACCAATATTATTTACTATTTAATTTCTTTCCAAATTATTTATTTCAAAAAGGTATTCTTAAAATAAATAGTTTCCTATTTTTCTATTTAAATCTTGCTTTATTCGGAGGATCTTTTTTCTTTTGAATACTTTCGAGTTTTAATTTGTATATTTAACATATTTTGTTATAAATATTTAAACAGAATCTAGCATATTTTAATAAAATTTTGGATGAGTTTTATTTGGAATATATTCCTTGAAACAATATTTGGATGAGTTTCTATCCAATTTTTGTGAATAAAAAATCTTAACATAAAACCGTTCACTTCGACTACAAAAAAAAACCATAAATCGGTCAATGCTACTATATTTTTCCAAATTATTCATATCAAGATATTTATTAAAAAATTTAGTCAAATCTAAATATTTGTTTCCAAATATTTATTAGATTTAGAAAATCAATCTTCTAAAAGACCCATAGCAATAAATCTCCTATATATATATGTAATATGTGTGTGTGCATGACATCATTCATTTTTCTCTGTTCTTTTTTTTTCTCCTGAGATCTTGATTTCTCTTGGTCTCTGGACCGGAGTCTTATTTTCTAACTCGAAGATATGAAGTATAATTGTCTTATAGACTCAAATCAATGTCATTTGTTTTTATTGCTCTTTCTGCTTATCTGATTTTTGTCTTATTCGCGTGAGTGGCTCTCGTTAGGTTAACAAACAAAGCTATTACCTTCTACAAGGACAAGAAAGTTATATGGTTAGAGTCTAAAAGATTTGTTTATGGTTTGGTTATAGTCTTAAAAAAGAAGCAGATGCCTCAAACTATTAGAATGTCCAAGGTTAGGCCACATTCCTAATATGGTATCAGAACCCAAGGTTGGCCCAACAAGCAAATTCCCACAAAAATGGTTTTCCACCTATGTGGCCCATATAAGTGGCATGTCTTGTTGTATTCCGAGATGTTGGGCTTGGGCAGTTTCCCGTTGGACCGTTTCCCACCCACATCTCGAGGAGGCCTATTAGAATGTCCCACATTGCTTGGGATTAAGATCTTTGGGTAGTATATAAAGGATGTGGCAATCCTTAACTCTTGAGCTAGCTTTTGGGTTAAGTTAGGCCACATTCCTAATACAAACCCCATTTAAGAAATGGGGTTAGAGGAATGTCTCTTTCTTTATACTCTAAGCACAACCTGAACTGATTTTCTAATCTCTAATTTTTAACAGATAATTTTCTTATCTAAGTTGTAATGACCATAGCTTCAGCTGTTAACTTGACGGGATCCATTAGAAGTATCATAGGAATATAATAAAACATATGAAACAGATTGAGGAATAACAACAAACAACATGGAATCTATAAGAAAAAATGTTTTTCTATTATTATATCTTTGGATTCAAAAGTAAAATTCCCGTCAAAAGACCAAGAAAGCTACTTCTTTGGGGCAGCAGCAGCAATTATTATGCGGTGGTAATGATACGGAGATTCTGAGCATAGCATCATCTCCTTGTTCTGCTGCGGACACAGAGAGAAACAGAGAGCAGAGTGGAGAAGGAAACATGGTTCACCAAACAGATGCACTCGCAACAGAGAAGAATGCCATGGAGATGACACCGGAAGAAGAAGGAGATTTGATGAAAAGGAAAAATATGCAAAAGAAAATTAAATGCTTTTAGCGTTCTAGCATATCTGTTAAGTATCTTTTGATGAAAAGGACAGTGTTTTGTCATTGTCTTAATTCGTCAAAGTTAGCATTAACGGATGCTTGGGAAGGAAGTAACGTTTTATTTTTTCTCGATTAAAAGTGATTTAGTTTTTGATAAGTAGGCTTGAGAGATAATATCTAAGTGATCGGAATGAGACTACTCCGCTCCGAAATAAGAAACAAAATTCATTAAAGCCTAATAATCGTGCAAAATTCTAACGATATATATTCATACATGATACGACATTTGGGTCATATAGTTTTTTTAAAGTAGAGAGGAATCGAAGTATACACATAATATATATCGTATGAGAACTGAATAGCTATGAAGAAGAAGGAGAGAGTTAGTGATGAATGTCACTAGTCTCTAATGGTTGGGTCCTCTGGCTTGGAAATGAACAAGGTACCGAAGCTTGGGCTAAATATATGTTCACAATACAAAGTCTGCATCTAGTGCATGCCGACAAAAATTGAATATTCCACCTTCCTCAAAAACCTACAAAATCAGCACAACCATCTAAATAAGCCTAATCATTTGAAAGATACATTGAAGAGTGCGTGTATCCGCAGTTTGTCTGTTACTGTGTGTATCCACTGAAAGGTACGCATTTACTTGTTTACCTATTCAAACCGCAACTTATCCGCTAAGAACTTACAAGTAGAGTTTTCCTAGATTCTCATTTAGCAGTTTTCTTGTCACTATTGTTGATTGAAAAGATCCATGGACCATCTCATTTGTCATATGCTCAGTAGCACTATATCGTCTCCTTTTTTTCATCGCCGGTCCCTTAAGCCCTTAGCTATGAGGAATTTTGGGCTATTGGATACTGACAATCCTTTCCCTTACATTTAACTATTTGGTTATTATATTTCAGATTTTCCCTGCATTCATCTTAAGAGAAAAAAAAACCCACTAGATCACAATCGAATAAGTTAGTTAAACTATCCAGAAATGTTCAAAAGTCAAAATAAGTTAGTCATATTTAGGACTTTTCAATAGAAAAAATGATAACAATACTGAAAACCATATCCTGGCTGTAGAGCTTGATACTAATCCAAGCACTGACGCTGAAGTTAGTGATAACCATGTGGGGATTGATATTAACAGTATCATCTCACTAGACTCTGCCAATGCTAGTTACTTTAGTCATACGGAGGGAAAGAACATAAGCTTCCGGCTTGCTAGTGGAAAAAGTATTTTGGTTTGGATAGATTATGATGGAATAGAGGAAACAGGTTGACTCTTAGGGTTTACGAAGAGGGACTTTCGAGAAGTTTTCTCTAAGATTCTCCGAAATGCCGTCTTTTGAGCGTTTCGACAACATGTGTGACTTGTGATTGAAGCCTAGATTCTCCGAAACCTTCTGTCTGAGTATGTTCCAACGAGAAGCTATCTTTGATCAATTTTCTATAACTATCTCCACCCATAAGCTCTTATCTGAGTCTAATTTATCTTCAATTGACCAGAAGCATCAAGTTAAATCAAAATTATTCGTTGATGGTTGGGTTGATAGGTGGTTGGCTCTGATTTCTTCAGATACAGTACGAATCTGTCTTTGTATTACTCTGCTTTAAAATCAAATTACTTTATCTGGTAATTGAAAGAGAAAGTTCTCGACTTTAATGTTATTAAACGATTTTTGTTGCTATAGCCTGATAAACACTGGGTGGGTATATGTTTGATGGGAGTAACATGTCAAGAATGTGGCTCAAATCGGTTCATTACTTCATAGTGTTATTAAGGTATGTACGGCTTTGCTCTATGGTGAGATTTGTTCCATCTTCTCATTTTTTTTTTTTTTTGTCAACAAGATTTGTTCCATCTTCTTCTACCAATTTATTTTGGAAGTAAATGTTTTTTTTTTTTAAACAGAATCCAACAAGTTCCAGAATTGTTCGAGTGGCTTCATGTACCTCAATCTCTAATAATTTGAATCAGTTCTACTTGCTATTTATCTTCAGTTTATCTGTTTTGTGTTTGATATTGAATCAAAGCCAGCCATTTAAAGCTATGAGATGATTTAGTTTAGAGAACTATGGATGATTTTTAGCTGATCATCTATCTTCTTTACTTTTCTTGTTAAAGGTTCTATGTATATTAAGCCCTCAAGAAAATGCTTAGTTTTTCTATATGAGACTTTTCAAATTATGCATTGTGCATGATTATCTATTCTGTATATTTGTTTCATTTTTTGTTCTACAATTTCCTTGGATTTTTGTAACTAGAAATTTTTGAAAATGTAAGATGTTTTCTTCTGGATTGAATCAGACTATCTAGAGCTTCGAATACAAAGAACGATGCAGTTCACATGCTGCGAAAGTAATCCTGCCAATCATTAAACTATTGGATGAAGATTCCTCAGAAGCATTGTGGGTAAGTGCCATACTTAAGAAGTCCTTAACACGTAAAGTTATGCATCAGTTCTTTGTTTAAATCCCATTTAGCAGAATCATAACCTACTAGAACTCATGATAGTTTTTGAATTTAGCCAGGTATCATGTGTAATTTAGCAAAAATAATTCTCATGTCATTCCAAGAATTCTCATTTTGAATTTTTGAATTGGTATTGGATGTGCAGGAAGGCATTTTCCATCTGCTAAGTACAATTGTAATCTTGTTTCCTGCTGTCTTCCACAGTAATTATGACAAGGTCAGTTCTCTTTGCTTCTTAATTGTATTTTCTATTGATCTAATTTCCTAAATTTATTAGTATCAGTATCTTCATAGCTACATGACATCAGTTCATAATATAATGAATACATGCACATTATGCCTAGGTGGTAACATAAATATTTGAAAATGTCTGGTGATTATTATATTATACTACTGTTATATTGAGTTTATTTAAAATCCTATTCCTTGCAGGTTGAAGCCGCTATTGCCTCCAAAATATTTTCTACGAAAACCAGTTCTAATTTGTTAGGTATTTATCTTTTTTACATATTCTCTATTCCATACTTTCCATCAACTAAGCAAGGAAATATTAATGTTCACTTCTTTCCTTTAATTCTCAACCTTCAGAGATTTGCGTACTTTCTATCATTGCTTCCCAAAGCTAAAGGGGACAAGGGAAGCTGGTCCTTGATGATGCAAAAGCTGTTGACCTCTATAAATGAAGATTTAAATATATTTTTCAAAATCTAGTAGAAGGTAATTTGTTAATTCTTTGTTCTTTTTGTTTTGTGCAGCTATAGTTTCCCTGATAGAACATGGTGACATGTGTTGCAGAAACAAGAGGGACAAAAGCAATCCAACGATTGGCTCCTCTTGGAAAATACTCTCCTTTGCCCTTGGTAGGTCAAAATGAGGGTGGAACTCTGAACAAATCCAAGGTAGGGCAATATCTTTGTTTTTTTGTTGGATTAATTACGATTCCTCTGAATTGTAAAGCTAGAGAGAGTGAGCTTTTTCGTACTTGGTCATAAATAGATAAAGTGTACAATTTGGGTGTGAAACCTGACCATAGTTTCATTGACACTGCCAATTGATGAGTTATTTCTTTGATAGTTTATATGTTTGCTGAAAACAATTTTGCTCTTGACTTTCGTTTGCAATTTTCCAGATTTTGTGAGCCACAGATTTCTTTTGTCGTTTATAATGGATTGTTATAACACGTTTCTGTGCCGTGGAAGCTAAACATCATCCTAATATTTATTCATTTTGCAACCAACTTTTACCATATGCTACATCTGTGGTGAGACTTGTTAGTGGTTACTTCAGGAAATGTTCATAGCCATAATTGAGGATAAAGCTTTACTCAATCACTACAACCTGACTCAAATGCATGGATGTAGGTAATTTCACAAGATCTTGCCTTTGCTTGAATTTTCATATCTCAGGTTGGTGTGATGAAAATCAAGATCTCGTCTGCTAAGTTACTTCTCTGACCAGGAATGCAATGCAACTTGTCACTAATGCCTCTGTGGATCTAGACCCGAAAAGTGTAGAGGGGATTTGATGCAGTATCTAGTAAAGAACCGTCGCTTACTAGTGGAGCTCTTCTTCAGGCTTGCAGTTAAAAAAAGAACCATTCAACTAATTCAAGAGTTGAGGCAGAGAATTCTGTTATTGAGGTGGGAGTCCCTCACAGTCACTCGAGCATCTCTGACTCTGAGGCACTGGAAACTCTTCTCACCATGGTAAGCTCTTTTAACTAATTACTTTCAAAGTTACGACTTTTCATGGACGATGATGAAAACTTAGTAGCTTAGTAGGAAGTTACCTGAATCCTGATCATAGTCACCATATTTATTCTTTGTGATAATGTTATAATAATATGATATTTGGAGAGAACGTATGGATAATCTTCTAATGATCACATCAACAAAGGTCACCAGTGTTTACCCACAAGGCGACTTGAGTTTCAGCTTGCATCACTCCGTTCCATTTTGACATCTCTTGTTTCTCCATGAAGAGTACTCCCTGCATTTTTAGCTGAAGGGCTTGAGCTTTTCCGAACAGGTTACTAAGATCGTTGCCATGATTTTTAAAGCTTTAAAACCCAGAAGTCTGGAGTATTTTGATGCATATATATATCAGTTTTGAACATGTAAACTTCAGGCAGCAATGAAAGTTTTCCGGATTTTGTTCTCACGCTCTCATGTCTCTTGAAATTGTCATACACCCGAGGGCACTTCCACTAGACGTTCTCCCATCAGTTAGCAACCGATTTCCGGAAATCAATTCTCTGGGCAGCCAAAAACACAAGACATCTAATCTGAATAAGTTGAACGATATTTCTCACGAGGTGATGATCAATGCAACAGATGGCTGGGGATTACAGATGAAATTTTTGTCAACGAGAATCATAGAACCTTGGACATGACTTTACCTCTCCAAGAGACCAAAATATTTAAACTTAGGAATGATTTAGCTACAGTTGTAGGTCTGAGTGTCAAAGATGAATTATATATGGTTTGATTAGAGAGTGTCTGAAAAGGTTCCTGAATCAACCGAGAAATCTCCTGGACATGTTTATGAAGAGATGAAATGGCTCGGAAGATGGTTATGGAGAAGTAGTGAAAAGGGAGAGGATATTTAGCGGTTAAGGATAATCCCATGGAGTAAGAAGTAATTGGTAAGAAGAGAGAGTATGATGATGATGAGTCAGTTCCAAGTATTCAGAAAGATGATGATGAGTCAGTTCCAAGTCTTCAGAAAGATGATTTATCTTTGTCTTCTAATTCTGATATTGAATCTTAATGCTAGTCAAAAGAGTAAACAAATCTGTCTTAGGAGAATATTTTTTTTTGTTTCTCAAGTTAAAGCGTTGATCATAGTTTCTTTTTCTGAAGATGTTCCATTGAATAGTTTTCCATTAAGGCGCCAACTAGTAAATAGCATAATATATCATTGGAGGACTAAAAAAACTTAATAAGAATTGATTAGGCTAATATGTATTCATACATAATGTTGAGTTATTATTACAAACCATTGATTAGGCTAATAAGAAGGAATTAGAGTCATCATAATAAGAGATAATACGATATTAAGGTGAGAAGTAAGCGTAAACTTCTCCTCAATCACCAGCACTCAAGACGTCTTTCTCCTCGAACATGTAGAGCTCGATCTTCTCAGCGGGATCCAACATAACCTCATGAAACTAGTCCAAATAGGACAAACCAGCCTCGTTGAACTGAACATCAGCTGTTAGAGGGAGAAGAAAATTACTCACTTTTTCAAGATCTATGAGAACATACTCACGAACATGTTCGAAAGAAGGATCACTGATCTCCTTCTTATTCTTCTTGTCTTGGTCAAAGACTAGATTTGTAGGATCAAGAACAGAAAGGCTGGTGTAAGACGCCACCAAGAGCAGAGCGGTGCCAGCACTAAGAGATATCATAAGCGACTTAAAAAAAATGCCCCAATTCAATAAATTGATCATGGTAAAAATGTCGTAAAATTTAAACAAATGCATAAAAATTGATTAAATATATCTTATATATAATTACATTAAAATAAACTCTATAAACTCTTACTCTAATCCTTCTTTTGAAGATATGGTATACAAGGTGGGTGACTCGAAAAGATAGATGGTTAACAACGATGACTCAAAGTGAATTGAGTTGAAAACTTTTCGTAATGGCAACATGTTGACTCTTAGGGCAACCAGACGAGGTCCAACCTTAACTAGGGGTCGTTAATTTTATAAGAAAACTTTGATTGAAAATAAGTCTTGGGTTGTTTACATAATTAAAATGTCCACATTTTGAAAAATCTCAATTTTTGGTCACCAAGTGTTTAAAAAAAATGTGTTTTTTTTTTTCTTTTTCTTTTTTTTCATTTTTTGTACAAAATATTTAGTTAAATCTGAAATAAATGACTTTTCATGTCATGCACGGTTAAATGAAATTATTATTCGTTTGGGATTTGATATTTACTATGTATAAACATATATTATAATAATGATAAAATTTAATAGTTTTATTGATAATGTCGCCATGTAATTTGAAATCTTATCATTCTTGCCATGATAAGATTATAAATTATGATTACTCATTTATAGCTCTTATTTATTAAAAGCAAAAAAATAATAATTTTCTATTGTATGTGAATTTCGAGAGTTCATGTTGTTTAGCCACCGTGACATCCGGGAGTCCTATCTCAATTCTGCTGCAACAGAACCATTCTAATCTCAGATTCTTACGCCATCTCAGACATTGTAAGGACGACTAAACCAAATTCCCTCTCGTTTCCCTACAAACACCGTGTCGTACAAAACTCAATGCCTGAATGGTTTGATTCTTTTATTATTGTTTGTATACAGTCCAATGGACTGAGTCCATACAACATCTTATTTTATATTATGGATGAAGTTGACGATGTATTATACATATTGAAAAATTACCATGATGTTTCAAACATTTGAAAATTGTATATTCGTTTAATTCTTAATTAGCGACAACATTTAGTTCATAATTCGCCATGTCCGTTACTTAGGTTTCACTTCAGTAATTAATAAATTTTATAATTGTATCTAGATAATTCACATTATTATTAAACACAATAATTAATGCTTATCAATGCTTATCAATGCTTAGCCACATGTTTGCCGGTTTGCTTACAAACATGATCCAATAAGAGGTGAAACATTAATAAAAGTTATCAGTATCATAAGAGTGGATTATTCATCTTTTAATGTCTCATGCTCATATGGTTTCAAAAATTTCACTTGAAAGAGATTGTTTACTAACACCTGGCCCCAGTCCGAATATCATTATGGGCCAAAAAAGCCCAAAACTTCTTTGTTAACAAAAAATAGTGTTCCAGAATTTTAATGATTGCGTCAATGCTGTTTGAACATTGATTATTTGATTTAATCTTATTGTCTAGCTTATCCGATTTAAAGCTTTATCTGATTAAGGTACAATAGGCATGAGCGAGGCTTGGAGCTGAGGGCTCTCGGTTCACTCTCTCTAACTTAGAGCTTCGTAGGTTTTGTATGGATCGACATTAGTGATAAATCCAACGCAACTATGCTATGAAAAAATTATGACAAATTATATTAATTGATATATAGTAGTGGAGTGCTGACAGATCTTAAACATTAATCATTATTCTATATTTAACTGAATTAGGGACATGATTTTGGAAGCATATGGACAAAATTAGGCCATTTAGCTATCGCTAATTACAGTTTTCTTGTAGTACATATTTTAATTTTTTTCTCACAACCATGGTGTTTATATGGTTATGGACTTATCGTTGACTTAGCTACTGACACTCCATCAAAATAAATCACTGCGTTCATAATTTTTTGGTCGTGTGTGTATATGATAATACCGTGAATATGAATGAATTTTATACGTGAAAATGACGTAGATCTGAATATTCTACATTTTCAAATAACTTTAAGAAAATCAATAATTTGATATAACTACTCTTTTTTTTCCCATGATCGCGAAAGATGTAACAAGTTTCAATGATTATATAGCAGTGTCTTCGTCATTAATTAGCGTTCTTTTTGTTAAAGAAATCTTAAAATTATATAGACTGTTAACGAGAATTATCGCATCATACGAGATAGAGGCCAATCTTTATAAATTCCAGTCTATATGTCTAGGAAGTGGAAGTTCAATTCCGTTAATTAGGGCTTTTGCCCAACAATAATCTTAAACTGTAGAGTATATTATACTTTCTACGTATACCAAACTTAGCACTATTAATATAAGAAGTCACGTATTATTTTGAGTTGATTAGTGTTACACTATGTACGTTGTTTCTTGATTAATTTTCATCTCAATATTGCCATGGTATTCCACATCAAAAAACCATTTTTTAACTTTTCACGTTTGATTCGTAGCTAAATTGCCACGGAGTTCAATAAATGATTTACAAGCTAATTTTCATTAGGCATCTCTCGCTAAAATAATGATATGACAGCAAAAAGTCATCTAAATTTTGTCGTAAATAATAGTGACATAATATTTTTTTTGTTTAAAAGTTTAAATATTTCATAAAAATAAAACGATTTAGGAGTTACACGAGGTAGATCCTACATCTTGGTCGCATAGGAAAAAATAAAAACAACATGGAAGCAAAATCAATTATTCCATCGACAAAAGCAATGATCCTTTCAGAATCAATGAAATGATAAAAGGATTTTGAATTATTCTAAATGATGGTACCTCAAAGTAGAAGCTTTAAGCTTTCAAATGACGATAATCGATTCATAGAAACCAAACGAATGGAAGCCTTTCACTGGTAGCACAAGAACCCAAGTCGTCAACCGCATTTAACAAAGAGCTAAACAAACACCAACTCCACATGCGTCATGTGAGAGCTTACTCTTTAAAATAACCATGAGCTCTCTCAAGACGGAACCGTCGAACTAATGATATCTTTAATGTTAATTTCTGACGCTATAATTTAATTAATTGCCATTCCATTAGCAATATATTAACAATTTGTTATTTCATTTTTAAACTATATTAGTGATATGTTTTGGAGGGATGCTATAGCAGCAAAATGTAGCCATCGCTTTTTTTTTGCAAAAATGTTCTAACTCAAACTTCCATTTCATTTTTTTTCTGCGCCTAGAGCTAGAATTTGGTTTCTCAACTTCTATAACAGCCTGTAACCACTGGTACATTGGTACTACTACTCATGTCATAATAACCAAGCTGTAACCAGGCTGTTTTGTGGTATGTGCAACATGTTTCAATGGCATCGACGTTAACGTTTTTTTCCAACTAAAACTTTAATCGTAGAGTATATTAATTAATTTAAGAAAAATTTCACTTAGCACAATTAATAAAAGAAGTCAAAAATTCTTTTGACTAGATTAGTCTCTCTTATACCAATGTTTTTTTTTAAACCACTCGGAAAGCAAATTGAAATATCTTAGACCGGATGGAAGTTCGGCTTGAGTCTGGTAATAGGGGCTAATCTGAATCTGGTCAGCAGCGGAGAAGGTTGAGGACATCTCGTCGCCGATTTTTTTTACATATCTTCGTTGTTAATAGCTCGGTTTAACCTTTTTTTTACCCGATAATGAGTGTGATTGGTAAGCACTTTTAAACCTTTAGAAAAGTTTTAAAGTCTTTAAAGTTTTTATTTTGCCGATCACAATTTTTTGGCTTTAAATAATTTTAAAGCCTCGAAAGTCCTTTTTTTTTTTTACTTTTTGAATTCAATTTTTTTCTAAAGCTACACGTCAACCTGACTTCAAAATTAAAAAAAATAAAAATAAATAGTTTTCCTTATTTTTTTTTCTAATATATAAAAACCTCTGATAAAATTCGTTGGAAAATTAATTTAAAAAAAGTATTAACTAATTTAGTTTTCATGTTTTTTTAAAATCCATTTATGTATATAAAAAACATCAGATATTACAATTGATACAAAAATATAGAAATATGAATGTATAAAAACTTTTCATAAAATTCTTTGTGTGAATTTCGTTGTTATATCACAGTTTGGATTTCTCTTCTCTGTAATTTATTTTATTTAAAATCACAATTTTTACAGTCATAGTTTCCACAATTTTGTTATTACCAATCACATTTTAACTGTTAAAGTCTCTAAAGTTAAAGTCTATGCAGTCAAAGTTTCTACCGCCAAAGTCCTAATGGTGAAAGTCTCTACAGCCGAAACTAACAGTCATTACCAATCGGACCCAATATCTTTGTAAACCAAGATCTGTTTTCGGTTCATTCGGGCGATTAATATAAATATTAAAGGAAAAATAATAATAATCTTTTAGGTTATTAAGATCTATTCGGTCTGAATAGAAGACAATATTATATAAACAAAATTAAATTATTTGTGACGTTTAACCATAATCATACAATAATATTGTTTTAAAATTTAATTTAAATTAAGCAACATAAACTAAAATAATGATATCCTCTTTGATTCGTTCCTAAAAATATAGATATCCGTAAAGCAACTAGTCAAATGTTATATTATATCCATAGAAAATGGAGCAATGTTAATGTCACTCATCGAACCAAACTTATCAAAGTAATTGTCTCTCTATCTTGAGACCAGAGTTTGATGATATTTAGAGAGGAGAATTTTTCTCATCCAAAGTGGAACATCTCGAGGTTGCTTCTTCAGTTCTTCTTTTAGGTGGTTACAAATTTCTATAAAAAAACATTGATGAATGTTGGAAACTAAAAAAAGGTTTAGTAAAAATTTAATATATATTCCTAAATGGTCACAACCAAACAATAAAAGGTACACTGAAGAACAAGTTTCAAAATTAAACTCTCTAAATAAGTAAATATTGATGAGTTTTTTTCCAAATATTACCAACTCGATAAATCGCTAGATTTAGCTATAAAACAAGAACACAATTAGTGAAAGAAAGTGATATACTGGTTCGACCGACCAATCTGAGTCGGATTTTATAACTTTGGTTGCTTTTTTCATCATTATTCAATTGATTTGCCATGTGCACGACTCCAAACATTAGTCTTTCAAAATATTAATATAAAAACAAGAACCAAAACAATTTACGACCCTCCATTGAGAATCTTTTTCTTCCTTAGCCAACAAGTCCTTTTTACGTTTAATTTATATTTTCCTTTTTCTTTTCTTTGAATAAGACCGACCAGTCTCCTTTGTTGTATGTACATCAGATTCATATTCATATGCATGTCAGCTTCCACTTATTTTCCTTGCGTGTAATAATTTACATACATTTATTACAAAAATATTTTTCTTAACTCGTACATGCCACTTGTTTTGTTGTCTAGTGTTTACCCTTATTATGCTACGCTTAATCAGGCAGGTTAACCACAAAACTCCTGATTTAGTTAGCCGGCTCTAAATTGATAACAATATGCTTATATATATGGGGATAAAGAAAAATTCCCAAAAAATAAGCTAAGTTTTTTTTTTTCTTTTTTTGAAAAAAATACACGAATTTATATCGGTTTGAATATACAATCTAATTAATGATACATATTTTGGTAATGTGAATACTTTGTATAAATCTTCGTATCTATTTTCAAATAGTCCAAACATTTTCTTTTCATGAATGATTCAATTAGATGTTGTACTCTTCCGACTCGAAAAGTTAATACGGAGCTAAATTTTGTAAGTAAAGAGCATTATTTTGTTTTAAGAAACCCTCCAAAACTTTTTTTTTACAAAGTTTAATTTTTGATAAAGAACAAAACCCATATTCATAATAATTATCAGAAAATCAAAGATTATTTGCACGCCGCCAACCTAATTTGTAAGTCATTCAATGTTAATTTGCTTTGCTTACAAAGATTATTCAATATGTTTTAATAGAAAGTTAGTTTTTATAACAAATATTTTTCTTAAAGTGTGTATAGATACATTAATCACATAGTTTAATTGTCTACATTTGTGTACGTCTTAAAGTGTATTTGTGATTGTGACTTCCCTTGTCTTTATCTCCCTTGACCTAAATGACGTCTTCCACTTTCTCTCATCCATGCTTGGAGCTTTCCACCCAAGTTTTGCTCACACTTTCCCTGAAATTTCAATCTTTCTTTTTAAAATGCTAAAAACCAAAACTTTATAAAATTTATATGTTAAAAAATTAAAACATTCTTGTTCACCACTCATCAAACTCTCTATATAAACCTATACACATCTCTCTCACTCTTTCATCATCTTTCACTTAAGAAAAACAAAGAAAAAATGGCGAGCCTTTATAGTCAAGTTCCTTCTGTATCAGCAATTTTCTCTCTTTACACATCTTTTTCCGCAATCACTATGCTTTTTCGAACAATCCTCAACGAGATTGTGCCTAAAAGAATCAGAGAGTACATAGCTATGAAAGCTTTGGACTTCTTCTCTTCTTACTTTCAATCTAGTTTCACTTTTGTGATCGAGCAACGTTGGGAGTTTGTTGAGAATCAGACTTTCCGTGCTGCTGAAGTTTACTTACCTACCCGTCTCGCCGGACTTTCTACCGGAAAACTTCTTGTGGGGTCAAGTAATCTTAAGAATCCAGCTGCTGAGCCAAAACTTGGAATCCCTGTAAACACAAAGATCATTGATGAGTTTGAAGGGATTCATCTTGAGTGGACTCTTCACTCTGTTGAAACTAAGAAGTATCTACCCGAAAAACGGTAACTCTAAACCTAAAACTCTGTTTTCTTTATCTCTTAGACTGTATTCTTCTTTAATCTGACATGTTTGGTGTGTTCAGGTACTTTCATTTGACATGTAAGAAGGAGTTTCGTGAGAAGATCATGACGGATTACTTCACTTACTTGGCGAAATCAGCGGAGAAGATAATGAGCCATCGCGAGAATCTCAAGATCTATACTTACAATCAAGACCGGTCTAAATGGGAATCCGCTATTTTCGAGCATCATACGACGTTTGAGACTCTAGCTGTTGAGCCAGAACTCAAGAAGACTTTGATTGATGATCTTGATGCTTTCTCTAAAGGAAAAGACTTCTTCAAGAGCGTGGGACGCGCTTGGAAGCGTGGATATCTTCTTTACGGTCCACCGGGAACTGGTAAATCTTCTATGGTAGCTGCCATTGCTAATCATATGAAGTATCATATCTATGATCTTCAGATTCAGAGTGTTAGAGATGATGGTGAGTTGCGGGAGATTCTTACATCAACCAAGAACCGGTCGATTCTTCTCATTGAAGATATTGATTGTGGAGCTGATGCTTCTCGTAGACGTCAGACAAAGAAAAAGGAAGAAGATGGTGGAGAAGATAATAGTGAGCCACAAAAGAGGAAGAAGAAGTTTGAAGTTGGGGTAAGTTGAAAATTCCTCTGTTTTGTTAAAATCTCTGTTTCTTTGTCTTATGAATCTTCTTTCTTTTGGACAGATTTCGTTGTCTGGATTATTGAACTTTGTTGATGGACTTTGGTCAAGTTGTGGAGAAGAAAAAATCATAATTTTCACTACTAATCACAAGGAGAAGCTCGACCCGGCGTTGCTGAGACCAGGAAGAATGGATGTTCACATTCTCATGGACAATTGTACGCCTTTTGTGTTCAAGAAGCTTGTGGCTTTGTACCTCAAAACCGATGAGCACGCCCTTTTTGATCCCATTGAGAAGCTTATCCTTGAAGTGAGTTCAACTCCGGCTGAAGTCACGCAGCAGCTTATGGCGAGTAAGAACGCTGATATCGCGCTTAAAGGTCTCCTTGAATTCCTGGAAAACAAGAAGATGAAAAAGGAAGAAGATTCTAGTGTGGAGGAAGAAGGAGAGATTGAAGATGCTGAGACTAAAGAAGCAGAAACATAAGATTATCTTGAAGACTTAGTAGAAGTAACTCTTGTGTTTCAGCTCCTTTTGGTAATAAATATCATTGCTTTAGACCAGATGAGACAAATTGTAGCTGAAACTACATGTTGATGTATGAAAAATTAGGGGACATAGAGTCTCATAAATATATCTTTCTTTTTTTAATTATATAAGCAAATGTGTGATTGTATTAATGCTGTTTTGCTAAAAAACCAGATCATGGAAGGAAAAAAGCAACAGCTCAAGATCATATGACTTTGGTTCTTTATCAAGAAACCTCGAATCGAATAACAATGCAAGTGATATTGTCACAGCTACCCCGTGCGTAGGCTTCTTGCACAAGCTTTCTTGCCGCTGTTTCGGCATCTGAAATGTCTCGTGCTATTGCCACGGCATCCTGAAAAATTAATTTTGGGAATGTGGTTTAGGTAGGTTCTCAGTTCTTTGTTTTTTGATAAATCTAGAGAACATTCACAATAAGTCCCATCACGAAAAATGTGCATTTTCAAAACTAAACAAAGTGTAAAAAGCATATAAGGTTCAAATGAGCTTTATCTGAAAACTAACCTTGTTTGACAACACATTCCACAGTCCATCACTAGCAATAACAATAAACTCCAACGTGCTTATATCCTCCTCCTAAGAACAGATAAAGAGTAATGAGTGTGAGTATAGGCGCAAGCGCATTTCAATCAGGGAAAAGGGCGTTCTCATTTTGTGACTTAACCAAAAATGTGGCATAAAATGTAGATAAATTCCGCAATGATCAGAATACAGAGAGCTCAATGGCCATGCAACAAGAGAGTAAACCATCTAATTACCTGAATTTCTGGCTCTGCAATCACATATGGTTTAAGTTGCTTATCCCCAAATGCCCGAGAGACCGCAAGAATTCCACCAACTCGCCATGTTCCTAGTGTATTCCAAGGAACGAACGATTAATAACTAAACGGCTTTGTTTAGCAAAAAAAAAAATTAACTAAACGGCACAAACCACAAATGACTTCAAAACAATGTATCACATATCTCTAAACTTCATGTCAAGTACAGAAAACCTGCCTGAGAAACACCACCAATACTAAGTGCACCTACACTCTTAAGCACACATACAAAGAGGGAGAGTAGAAACTTTACCAGCCCAAATAATAAAGCCACCAGCATCTTCAATCCGTTGTCGCTCATCTGATCTATCCGGTTTATGATCATCAGACAGTGGAACAGCTACATAACAAACAAAGAGCAATCACATAAACAAAAGCCTAAAAGCGAGGTTAATCAATTTAGTATCGCAGAGTCAAAATCAATCAAACCTGAACCATTATTTGACGCTACAACTCTAGAATCACCGACATTAGCAACAATCAACTTATCCCCTATAAGCAAAGCAGTCGAAGCAGTCGAGCCAGCATTCTTCGGTTGTCCTATCTCATCAATAAGATACTCTTCATCTGTCTGCTTAAAACTTTCAACTGCAAAATCAAATTCAAAGTCTAAAAAACTCAATTCCATAGAAAGCTACTAAAAGACTCAAACTCTGTCTCATTACCAATAGCTTTCTTAGTGTCTGAGATAAAATCATCATGACTAACTAAATTCTTGAAAAGATTGTTTTTAAGATATTCAGCAGTTCTTGCTCCACCATGACCTAATAAACCAAACAAAAACACATCAGAAACAATCAAATGACAACACGCTGATGACAAGTAACAAACAATGTGTTGTTAGAGAAATATTTACCATCGAAGACACCAAAGAAAGCAACCATTTGTCCATTAACATCAGAGATTCTAGTTTCGAAGTAATCCTCCATTGTTGCTCTTTTACCCTTAAGACTAGAATATCCATAACTAAACTTCACAATTCTAACTCCTGCTAAAAAGCTACAACGCCGGAGAAAAAAAAAACACAATAAATCAAAAAGATCCTAAATTTGAGAAAATCGATAAAAAGATTCAATTTTTTTAGAAACCTGATTCCACCGCCGCTAAAGAGAGCATCGGGATCTCTAGAAGAAATCATGGAACTAGGATGATCAGAGTTCGTCGCCGGAGAAGAAGAAGATTCCGGCGGTGGCGAATTGGCATCCCCACGAAGGGGAGCGACGGAGAGTGGAGGAAGCGGAGGAGGAGGAGATGGGTTTGTCAGGTTTGGTGATTGGCAAAACCAGAAGAAGAAACAGAGGAAGAGATAGAAGATGATAAAGGAAGAGATTGTTTGGGAGTTGAAGAAGAAGAAGAAGAAAGACCGAACAAGAGTGGTGGGTTTGGTCCGGAGGTGGACACATTCAATAGGAGAAGAAGCAACATTTCTAATTTTCTTCATTTTTCCTTTTTTTTTTTTTTTTTTTCCTTCCGACAGGATAAATAATTAAACTATTGTGTATGTATCTTATATTCATAATTAGTCATATATACTTTAATATTAGTCATATATATTTTAATATAATTAAAATTTTATTATGTCTCCACCTTTTAAAATTTTTGTTAAACTAAAAACTAATTTCAAAATTAATTTGATTTCTTTTAAAAATAATGTGGAAACAATATTGGGCAAAACCAACATTTATTTATATTCTACAATTGTTTTGACGTAGATAATTCCATACTTTTTCTTCTTCAATTCTTCTGCTCACAAAAGTTAAGCTTTAAAATTGTTTTCTCCTCTTAAATAAATCTAAACTAGTGTTTTTACGTCCGATCCGAACTGTCCAGTCCAACCGGTTAACCCGCGATCCAGACACTTCTCCGGTTTAATATTCGGTAATTTCAAAACCAGAAAACCCCACAAAAATCTGCTATTAACTCGTGACTCGGTGAACCGGTTGAACCGACCAGGCTTGGGTTTAATAAAATTCATTTCATTTTGATCTTTTAAGGTTTTAGGCTTTTAGTTTATTCACTATTCAATTATTTTTTGAACTTTTTAGTTCTTTGGTTTTCTCAAACGGTTTTAATTAGATTTAAAATTTTTGATCACTTTATTATTATGGTTAACTTGATATTTTGTTAAACATGTTATGATTATTTTTATTTTATATTTATATAACTATATAATATCTATAAATATTAAATACATTAAATAAATTTGAATCAATTGATCCGTGGTCGAACTCGGTTGACCCACTGACCTGATGGCTCAGAAGGTAGCCTGGTTCACCGTCCGAGTCTGATTTAAAAACATTGATCCAAACCACATACCTTTGTTTCTTCTTCTTCTTCAATCTCTATCTCTATCTCTCTATTTCCCTTCCTTCGATTTCAAGTGCATATATGAAGAAGTAAGCATAATTCTCAAAATATCCTTCTTTTCCGATTTAATCTATTATTTGTGTAAAAATAACAAATCCTACGTTACTCAATTATGAATTTTAGAAAGTCTAATGAAATCCAATATTATTGAAATAGTGATTTGAAAATCTACTTTGAAATTCATTGTTACTGAAAACGTTTTTAGAATTTGGTTTTTAATAATTTTAAAGGATTTTAGAGAATTTATGAGGATTTTCTTAGTTAAAAATACAGAAACACAAATCTCATGGTTTTAGGTGGGATTTGAAAAGATTTTACACTAAATGATAACAACTTTTCTAAAATCATCAAAATCATTTAAAAACTCACTAGTACTCAATCAATTGAAATACTAGATTCAATACACCCCTTATGTTCTTTCAAATTTTTACTAATTAAAGTTACATTAAAAAGGTCAAAGTCAAACACAATAAACATTACAAAAGATCAAATAAATTGATGCTCATATGTTTTCAGTATAAACACTACTTAACTAAGTACACGAAAAGCCAAAAAATCATACTATGGTCATGTTCGTTTGGCAGTCCCTAACGACCAGCGACTGCGACTACAAAATAAAATAAAATAAATATTTAAAGAAAATTAATTTAATTTAAAATTAAATTAAATAAAAAATAGAACAAAAGAATACAAGAAAATAAATAAAATAAAATAATTTGAACTACATTGGTTTAAATTAGCTTAAATTGAACTAAAACTAAATAAATTAAATTAAATTAAATTAATTTAAAATTTTAAAATTTAACTAAAAATAAATGAATTATCTAATTAAGTATTAAAAATATTATTAAGTTTCTTAAAAATGTATTAGTATATAACTTTAGTTTTATTTAATATAACACAATCATTTCGTTTTATATGAAATCTTTAGCCAAAAGAAAGAAAAAAATGTAGTCACCTTCTAGATTCTATTTGATCTCTCCGTATAGAATCAAGATTCATAATAACAGTATAAATATGAAAATAACATTTTTTTACGAGCTTTTTTTTATGTGTCTGAAGTGGAACACTCTGGTTTGCTAAAAACATCACCCAACATGTGAAAAGAAGTGTATCAGCTCTCTGGTTTCCTTATTTTACGATTTATTTTTATTTTTTTAAAAAAAAATTCACAATTACATAGAATTTATTTTCTATTTTCTGTAAAATATATAAAAAAGCATAAGAATATGTTTTCTAATAATTTAAGAACACGAGTAAATGTAAAAAAGGATATTCTAATTTTTTTAGAAGAAATAATAACGTATAGATGTGTTCTATGTTTTGTAGAAATTATCATTCTAAATATCGTAGAATGGAAATGCGTTCTAAATTTTGTAGAACATGTTGAATGCGTAGAATACATTATCTAAATTTTATAGAACATGTACAATGTATATAATACATATTAATTCAGAAGGTGTATTCTAAACTTCGTAAATCATATTTTATTCATCACTAGGAAAGATGGTCCGAAGAATAACTGTTTCTGAAAATCTAGATGGAAATAAAGAAAATTCGAATTTAGAATTTTGGCACCTCTGTATCGACTGAATCACTCTTTTGGTCTAGTCGGTGGAACCGTTGGATATACCATCACACATCATGCACAGCTATTCCCAAGATAGTGACTTTTGGTTGAAGAGAGCACTGAATCATTCGAAAGGGGAAGCCTCGACTGGAATTGCCAAGAGTTGAATCATTACCATTTGTCCTGAAAAGCCCAAGTGGAACATACAGTAAAATTTGCATGGTAGAAAGTAATAGCATATCCCTCTTCCTCCACAATTCTTTCTAGATCAGTTACGTGTGATCAACAAGGGAATGAAAGGCCGCTTTGCGTTGCATGCTCTTAACGCTCCCCACAATGATGGCTCTGTTGTCTTGGGGAGCGTTGAAGCTTGTCTCACCCACCCAAACTTGGTTTTCGACGGCGAATCAGCAATGTGTGTCAAGCCCTCGATATGTATGGAGAAGGAACTCTCAAAAGTTTAATTGAAGGAAAAGAAAGGGATCTCCGAGATCTAAATATCGAGGAGAGCGATATTCGCATAGGTATTGAAGTTCGAGATCTCGTGTAGGTATACATGATAACAGAGATGTGTCCTACGGATTCAGAACCGGAAGGTCAGAAAAAAGTGGGAATGACAGAGCAACTTAATTGTCAAGAGATTTGACATGAGAGGCCAAAGTTTCAAACTTCCCATTAAGATCATTGTACATGTTGTCCACTTTTGTGTTCATCGCAATGGTACTTTTCTTTTGTCCTTCAAGGAATTGTTGCAACATTAGCTTCACCTCACTATCTGGTCACAGAAAGAAGGGCAAGGAACTATCAATATCAGTATCGAGAGAATAAAGGATGAGAGTGGAACCTGTGGAAGCCTACATCAAAATAAAAGACAGGCGGAACTCCTTCTAGCTGCGGAAAGTCCGAAAAAGAGTTGAGGTTCTATTTTGACTTGCCACCCAGGCGCTATTAAATAAATGGGGGTCTTTCCTTCGCCTATCGTATATTGTATGTATCGGCTTGGCTTCGTCCAAAACTAAAAAAAGGAGGCATTCTGGCGGGCGCGTGCGTGGGTAAAGGGAAAAAGACAGAAAAGACCATAGAATAGCAATAGGAATCGCTGCTATCCGACAACTTTCTCCGTAGAGCCCGCAGCTAAAGGTTAACAAAAGATTGTAGAGCCCCTTATAATGGAAAAATAAAATTCAGTGAGGATTTGGTTCATCCTTTCATCCACCAGAGAGCCCATCCTTAGTTGTTTTGTTTTCTAAGTTCCGTTTCCTTTTATTAGTCTGAGTTCATCTTTTCCGCTTTCAAGCGTGTACACACACTGAAAAAGGATAAAAATATTCGAATGAAAGGCGATAGGGGACGTACCCTAAGGAAGCAAGAAGGGAGGATTTTCTTTACTTTACCGCTATAACCTTTCTTTCACGAGTGAACCCAACGCGAAGCAGGCGTGTGGTGCTTCCCGTAATGAAGTGTGTTTCCTTAGATTTCTCTTTATACTCAAGAAGATTAGAAAAACACTCTGTGGAACTGCAAGTGGCGTATTGGAGACTGCACAGCAAGTGGCGTAGTGGAGTGAGCGAGCATCTTATTTGCCCATATTGAGCAGAGTGTTGGAACTGTCCAACTGGAAATGATAACAGAATGCATAGGTCAAACGAAGGAGTCCCAATAAGCAGATGAATATAGTATACCTATTTCCTTTATGAGGGAGAAAGCAAATTGAAGAACCCGCGGATAGGTGCAAAACTTCAATTCTTCTTAGCCAAGGCTTTCCAACTCTTATAGTAGATAATATCTAAAGCGATAGAGCTGGTGGATGGAAATGAAAATGTCCTCCAGACTGAAAGTGATAAAATAGATAAAGAAAGGGCGCAAAACCCAGTCCTCCAACGGAATCAATGGCATTCCTTTCTTACTAGTCCTTACGAACTCTACATTGCTTACAAGGTTGAATAGCAGAAAGCCTTAGCTTTAGCTACTTCAATCTCTCCTTTCCTCATATTTGAGCAAGGAAAGTTGTACAAAGGAAAAGATATTCTAAAGACAACAAAAATAACATATTTTCGACGTTATATGTATCTTCATGATTTCTTCATCATTGCCGACGAATTATTCTAAATTTTGTTTGAAATTGGTTAAATCAATTACGAAGGGTAGATTAAGAATATGTAACAGTTGGTCATAGAATGCATAGATAAAAAATAGTTTAATTATTTGTCTTTTATATCCAATTTTTTTGTTTTTAATTTTTTTTCTTCCATATA